AAAGTAAGCTGAACAGGAAAAAAAAATCATGGATCTTTGCTTCCTGAGAGTAGATGCAATATGACCAGCTGCTTCAAGATCTGCTGTTTGGGCTTTCTCCTTCTGATGAACTTTGTACCAAAAGAAAGCCTTTATCCATTTTTTAAAAAGTATAAAAGAAGAGAGGGGTGGAAATAGAGGGACATAGAAGGGACAGGAATCCCACAAGGAGACCAACAAAGCTAAAATATCTGAGCCCAAGGTGTCCTGCAGAGACTGATGCACTAACCAAGGACCATGCATGGAAAGGACCTAGACCCCCTGCTCAGATGTGGCCTATTGGCAGCTCGGTCTCCATGTGGATCTCTGAATAAGGGGAGCAAGGGCTATCTCTATCATGAACTTGGCTGACTGCTATTTGATCGTTCTCCCCTGATGTTGCCGCTTTGCCAGGCCATGGAGGAAGAAGATCCAGGCAGTCCTGATGAGACTTACCAAGCTGTGGGCAGATGGCAATGGTGGAGAATTCCCCTTTTCAGTGGACTAGGGGAAGGGGATGGGTGGGAAGATGGAGGGAGGGTTGGACTAGGGGAGTTGAGGGAGGGAGTTTCAATTGGGATATATAATGAAAAAAAATGTGAAGAAAAAAATTTTAGTAAATTTTTTTTTAAAGATGTAATGGTTTTGTGCTTATTTTTTTTTTGTTTAAATGAGCTGGGGAGGGGGGAAATGAGTACTGCATAGCAGATTATAGGTCATAATTTAATTCTTAGAAGGAAAACCAGAAGCAAATTGTGCATACAGACTTGTAGACTGAGGTTCACTTATCCCATTCCGTCTCCATGGCAGATTGAAAACTGAAAGAAAGTGGGGACAATCTAACCACTGTTCAGTTTTACCTAAGCATCTACCTAACTGCTTCCTAATCACAGGCAATCGATAAATACTTATTGAAGAAATAATAAAATTATTAATGAAAATATCACTGGATGATAGGGGTCAGAAAGATGCTCAGTGGATAAAGGGCTTGTTGCACATGTGTAGAGATCTAAGGCCTAAGCTTGCTCTCGAGCATGCTGTATAAACCTTGGTACTCTTACCAAGAGTCAGAAACCACTAAGGCAGAGAGACAAAACTAGGAGGACCATGTGGCTTGCTGGCCAATGAGTTTGACCAAAACAGTGAGGTCCAAATTCAGTGAGAGACCCTGTTCTCAAAAAAATAAGAAAGTGATAGAGGAAGACATCCACGGTGAACTTCCACCCTCCACAGGTGCCCGCACATACACCATACACACGGAAAAATACACAGGTATACATATATGCACACACATGCATGCATGTACACACACGGCCTGCGGGCATGCACACAAACAGCAGGTAAATATATGTGTCAATACACCAGTTGGCATCACTTGAAGTTTACTTAACGTTTTAATGTATTGTGACAGTCTTATGTTGCTCATGGGGTGTTGATGAAGCCTATTCCTGGACACAAAGTGGGACTACAAAGCCAGTTTTTCTTGTATGTGGGCAAAGCGACATGAACACAGCTGATTAAAGGGGGTAGAGGTGGGGTATGTGTCTTCTGACACCAAGGATTTAACTGCTGGTAGGAGAGACAGCAAAATCATCATTCCCATCACCAGAGCTGCCGGCTTTGTGATACTTGTCAAAGAAAATACCACAGATCCTAGATTCTTGGACTCCATTTTCATCCCAAGCTCTTTTAACATAGTCACCTGAGTACCAATCTTACTTGCCATGAAACATGTTAGGTTTGTGCAGTAGACCTACAACTAACTTATTTCTGAAGCACTCAAGTACACTTTTAAAAGTCATGTACAAAATAAGCAATTTGGTATGACTCTCATAACCAAAAATCCACTGTAGAAAAAAAAAACAGGTAAAGCAAAAAAATATTTCCAAGTCATGCTTTTTCTTAATGTTTTAAATATCTGGAATAAAAATTATTTATAAATCAGTTGCACTTGAGTCATGGAAATAATAGCATTATAAGAAGAGTAGAACAGCCAGGTGTGGGTGGTTCACTCGGCAGTCTCAGCACTCCGGGAGGAAAAGGCAGGCAGATCTCTGTGAGTTTGAGGCCAGCCTGATCTACAAAGGGAGGACAGTCAAGACCACAGAGAAATTCTGTCTCCAAACACACAAATAAACAAAGAAAACAACAGTACAGTAAAAGGATGTCTTTTTATCTTTTCATTACATATATAACCAAGTGTAATAGATCATCACATATTAATAAGAGTAGTAAAAGGCAATATGAATTAGAAATATGAATGAATGAGAAAAATAGATGTTTCAAAAGACAAAAATCTCTCTTTCCATTTTTTAAAAATAATAGTGTGGTTAGCTGGACTTATTTCACAGTTTCTCAAAAAGCACATATTTGAAAATTGTTTAACAACTCTAAATGTTTTTATTTTAAAATTTTATGTTTTATAAAGTTTATGCTTCATAAAATTTAAGTGTAACAAACAGTATAATATAAAGACTGTATTCTAATACCTGAGAAAATTATTTTAAAATAATTTTTTGCTTCTTCCAAACAGAATCATTTTAGTTACTTTTAGTAATTTTTTCCTAATATATAATTCTGTGGTCACCACAGTATATTAAGTTAAGTTACTGTACAATAATACATTTGACTAAACACATAAGGCATGTCTGAGTTAGTTTTCCTTTTCTGGAAAAGATGATTGTTTTCCATGAGAATGAAAAAATATTTTATTGCATTAGCTGACTAAATTAACCACTGAGGTAAAAAGAGTATTGAGAAATAACTAGGCAGCTCTTTTCTTACATTCTACATAGATAATATTACCTGACAAAACACTTCAAGTAAACTTGTTAAAGGCTCAGAAATTCAGGGTTCGAATATATTGTTATTGTCAATGTATGTTCAGGAAATTAATTCGCTCTTTGTGACATTTACATCCATTGACATGCAAATATCTTGCTTTCTTGCTTGGGTCATGACCAATGTTCTCTCTGCCTTCTTTTACCTTTTTCTCTCTAAGTTTTTTTATTCAGACCCCTTTGCCTCTTTCCAACTTATTTATTTATTTATTTGGTTTGGTTTGTGGTTTTAGTTTTTTTTTATTTTGGGGTCTTTGGGTATGGCTTAGGGTTTTGTGGGGGCTTTGTGGAAGGGAAGGGTGTATTTCCACAAAGCCCTAGCTGTCCTGGAATTGGTCTTGAAATTGTAGAGATCTACCTACCTATCTTCCTTTTTGTTTTCCTACTCCCAATAGTCTCTCTTCTATGTTCAGCTCATTTTTAAAAGTTTCTATATAAGAAAGAAAACATACTATTACTGTCTTTCTGTACCTGGTTTGTTTGACTTAACATGGTATCATCCAATTACATCCATTTTTTTGCAATGATATAATTTCATTCTTCTTTATGGCAAGATAATATATTCATTTTTCACTTTCTAGTTTATTTCTAAATTGAGTAAGTAATTTGAGATATCAAAAAAAGAGACACTCTGCGTTTGGTGATGTATGTTTACCATTACAGTGCAGGGGAGATGGAGGCAGGATGATTCAAGGACCAAATAGAGCTAGCCTGAGATACATGAGAAGCCCTGTCATGATACATACACACGTATAGACAGACAGACAGATATAAGATAGGAAAGGAAAGATAAAACTTAGAAAGAGTTTAGTGGGACAACTTAGGCAGTGAATGATGGCACCATAAACATTAAAATATTTCTGGGGTCAAAGGTTAAAATATTTATAAAATAATCTCTACCAAATTTTCCAGCTTTGTTTTCCTATAACACTGAGGTTTTGCATTGTGCTGATGAATACAGCCAAAGCTTCCCCTTAGTGCTGCCAGGAAATACATGAATTCACCGTTTCCAGACGAGTCCTCTGGGCCACAAGCATTCTCTGTATGTGTTCTCAAGTACACAAACCTCATTCGCTTTAACAGCACTTTACCAGTGATGGCAGATGGCAATGTAATTTGAGTAAGGTGTTAATTCGTTACCATTCCAGTTCACATACAGCTCACCTCTGCAAAAATATCCTAAAATGTCACCACAACCAACCTGCCGGCAAGGTAAGTTGACCTAAATACTCTGTGTTTAACTATAGCAAGAAAAGAATGATCTCAGCACAGTGTATGCTTGATGCTCCACGGAACAGCACCTGGGCCCTGTTTCATTTCAGAAATTGTAACTGGGTTACAGTAAGATTTCTAAGATTTTTTTTTCCTTTAGCTAACTAGAGTCGAAAGATTTGGTGTTCCCCGTGGTACCGTGGATTCACGTGGCTATCACACAAAAACATGTGTGTGGTCGTTTCAAGTGTTGTGGTATCTCCCTACAGGATTCTTCACTGGCATCCTTTCAGGCTACCCATTTATATAATGTACAGCCTTACTACTCAAGGCTGTACATTCCTCATCACTGTAGATTCGGGTTTATGCTTAATGACAAAACATTCAGCTCTGTATAACTGCTAGGCCTCCACTCTGTGCCTCTTTGACCTTGAGTAATTTAAACCTATTTCCTTCCTTTTGTTCTTAAAAGGAGGCTTAATGGAATTTTGAATTTTCCTGTAACAAAACTTCTTAAGGTTTTTGTCAAAAATGATTTGAAATACTAAAAAAAAAAAAAAAAATGATGTACTCACATCCCTCACTACCACCTCCAAATAACTGAATTACATAAATAAAACATTACATGAAAAGTGCTTGGCTACAATTTATGAGAAGGAACTTCAACAAGAGCTGGCTCATTTGTAGGAAATTCAGTCTATCTTTTTCCTGATCCTTTTATTCTATACAGGGAGAGAAATTTATGTCAGTTTAAAAAAAATCTATTACTGCTTCTCATAACTGAATCCATTATTTTCCCCCATGATCCATCAGGTTAAAAACAAGAATAATAGATTGCTTTGACAGAGCTTTGAACATAAATGTCCCCTAGAATCAAACACAGTGAGTTAAATAAGTTTCAGTTGGTATTAAAGCAGGAAAGGATAACAGTTTTATATTTCAAAACCAAATCTTACTACAAATTTATTATTATCAGCTACCACATAAAAGTACATAACATTTGAATGTTCACAATGAGATGGGAATATTTCCATTCATCTTTACATATGCCCAAGCAGAATCTGTCCTGAAGAAATGAACTCAGAAATGGGAGTTATATTTGGTTTTTTTTAAACCAACTAATTGTTGAAAATCTTCTCCTTGGTTACATTAGACCAGATAATTTGAAATAAATAACTGATGTTATCCTATGCTCTGTCAACTGATTAACATATTAATGTTGACCTTATCTTACGAATGTTTTTTTTTTTTTTACTTCTTGAGTGTGCCTATAGTTTTTACACATGATCCAGATTAAAGACTTCAGAAATGTTTAAGACAAATGAATGCATACATGTGCATCAATCAACTGTTAATTCTAACAGTTAGTTCATCTTAAATAGAGCTGCTAATGGACACCTACCCAGCAACCAATCTCTAATTATTATTTGAACAATCAACTGCTCTTGGGGAAGCTCATATCCCCAGCTTCAATGCAGACTTTCTTCTAGTCAATCAACATACTGCACTAATTGTTGTCCAAAGTGCATGGGACTGTGTTTGCCAGCCACTTCTCCCACCCCACCCCCCAAAAAAATGGAAACTTTTTTTTTAATTAAGCTTGGTATAATGTCTAAGAATGAAGTTTTCCATTTTCCTCTTGTTGAATAAAGAGAAAAGGGACCCTTGCTTACCACTAATGGACATTTGTCATCACAAGAACTCAAACAATGCTTGTGGTAGATAGGAAAGTTTGATAAGATTTGAGTCTTAAAATGGCCTGATGGCTAGCTATAACTGTCAATTTGGCACAACCTAGAATCACCTGTAAAGAGGGTGGCAATGACGGATTGTCTACATTGGAATGGACTATGGTCATGTCTGTAGAAAACTGTCTTAACTAAGATAATCTCGGAAGATCCAGCCTATTCTGTGACATACTATTCCCTAGGCAAAGGGGTCCCAAACTTTTTAAGAGTGTAGAAATTGACCCAAGTAAGTAGGCAAGCAAACCTTGCAGGCATGTGCTTATTTCTCTGTCCTCTTAGACTGTAGATGTGATGTAATCAGCTGGCTTCAAACTCTTGTCACTGTAACTTGCTGATGTGACGGACTGACCTGGAATTTAAAAAGTTAAAATATATTCTGTCTCTGCTAAGTTGCTTTTTGTCAGGATTTTTACCAAAGCAAACAAAAACGCAACTAGGACAGTGACATCACCAAAGCGCTCATGGTTAGTTCCTGGGGCTTTGCCTCTCACTTCCTAGTTGAAAGAACTGACTTTTTTTTTTTTTTTTTTTTTTTTTTTATTGCCAGAGGATTTTTGTGACCATCTAGGTATTCTCTCTTAAAGAAGGATGAAAGATAAACTTAATATAGCTGTTTCCTTTTGGAATGTTCATTCAATGCTATGTGTTAGAGGACCTTAGACTATGCATATCTGATTTGGAAATCACTTTGGAGAAGTCTTGCTAGCCATCCAAAGAGGCAGAAAAATTAAGATACTGAAAAGCTTCCTGTCTTAACAGACAAAAGCTACAGTTCATAATGAGGTTCAAACATTATTGCTAACCTCAAGAGCTGAAGCAGGGTTTGGCCTGTTTTGCAGCTAATTTAAAACTGGCCTGTGTGCCAAAGCAACTTTTTTATTATTACTTAGAAAGCTGCAACAATCCTCCAGCTTCCCTAAACCACTTTAACATCTATTTCTCAGACCTGGTGGGCAATGTGGTGGTTCCCTTATATTCCCATACAGAGCAATTCATCAGCTTTGCAACCTGATCCCCGACATTAAGAGATTAAAACTAATGCAGATGACTCTCTGATGACACATACTGAGGTATAGAAAATCCTCCATCATTTCCTTCTACAAAATGAGAAAGATTTTAATTCTTTTTCTCAACAGCTGCTTCATTTTCTTATGCATAGGAAAAATATGTGCAATTACTTCAAGTACAATCAAGTCGTTTAACATGGCTTTGCCATCATTGTAGTTACAGGATATTTTAAAAGAGGGGAAAAAAATCTCAAAGCACAGGTCCTGCTGTGCGGCAAAGCAATCAAATTCCTTCATAATAACAGCCTGATGGGATTCAGCAATTTGAGGAATAATGAATAACCACTCTAATCAGTAAACAGGAAAATGCTACAACAGTTACTGAGTAAAAACTATCATCTGTTGATTCTTTTGATCGGCATTTTAAACAATAAATAGAAATGTGAGTAATTCTTAAAAGAAAAAATAACTTCATTTAATGTGTTTGATTTTACCAGGCAGTGAGGGAAGAAAAAAAAAAGACATATCATCTTATACTGTCCTGCAGTGTTTTCTAGTCAATAAAACACACATAATCTTTTTTATGTATAATGCATGGCTGAGTTCATCCTACCACCTGAATATGTCAAAATAAACCGATTTCACAGTTGGTTGATAAGACTATTTCTGGACTGATGATTCCAATTTTTTTTCACATCTTTATTATTTTTCTTCTTTTTCTTTGCTGTTCATTTTATGAAACTATTTGTATCTGTATATGAAGAGTCTGTTTCAAAGTAGTCTTCAAGTTTCCTATGAAGGATCTCAAATGTTGGTCGTTGCTTGGGCTCTGCATTCCAGCATTCCAGCATGATGCTGTAGAATTGCTCTGGACAGTTAGATGGTTGCGGTAGTCTGTAGTTTTGACTCAACATCTGAATTACTTGAGCACCTGTCATACCTAAGAAACACAGAATAAATCCCCCCCAAAAAAAGAGACAATCAGAGTCTTCAATTTATAGACACTAAACTCTGGGTTACAAAGCAAATTCTTTCCCTTGATGAAGCCATGAGACCCACCATCCACATCCCAGGCTGCAGACATTAAACTAAAACCTGCAGCAAGTCATGTCTATGAGATTACAATTCAAGAGCAAAGGAGAAGAAGGCAATAAACCACCTCATTAATGCAAATTATCATCATCAAATTTTATCTGCCGAGCTCCTACAGGCACATGGTATGGTCAGCTTTATAATGCTGCCCTCTAATTCTAGGCAAAGCAGTTAAAGTCACATCTAAGCAAGTGACCTGCAGCGCAAAAGCCCACTTCTGAATTAATCACTCACCACTGTAAGGCATTTTGCCATAAGTAATGATTTCATAGAGAAGGATTCCAAAAGACCACACGTCGGACTTAATGCTGAATTTATTAGTCCGGATGGCTTCAGGCGCAGTCCACTTCACTGGCAGCTTTATTTCGTGTTTAGATTCATAGATGTCTTCATTATCCACCTGTTAATGCATCAGGGTATCAAGCCAAGTTAGTGACTTGTGTTGCCTTCATTTACTTGTAGCCTGGTTCGCATGAAAAGTTAGAGGGAAATATTCAATATGAGCTTAGATAAGTTTGTATCACAGTATCAAATATTCTGAACCAAACACATCAGATTAGAAGAATCAGTGAGAAGTCATTAACATGTTGTGTCTTGAGAACCTGAGGGACATCATTCTATTGCATGCAGGAGAATTTGGGGTAATTTGGATTTACACAAGTCATTTACAAACTGAAGGAGAAGGAGGAGGTGCAAAGGATGTCCGGTCTTATTTGCTGTTGGTAGTGACTGATACTGAGGCTAGAGAGACCGGTCAGCAGTTAAGAGCAATTGCCGCACTTGAAGAGAATGCAGGTTTGGCACCCAGCACTCATACGGCCGCACACAATCATCTCTGCCTCCAGCTCCCGAACATCTGGTAGCTTCTGGCTTCTGCAGGCACTCGCCCATGCAGTGATGCACATGCAGGCAAAAATATAGCCATATATAAAAGAAAAATAAATAAAACTTCTTTTAAAAGTTGGCATTGATTATTATCTAAAGCACTTGCTAATACCAAAAAGTTATATCTAAATATTTTAAATTAATTTATCAACATAATGAATTTCTAATTGATTTCTTTTTTTTAAAAAGGGGGGTGATATGAAAAGAGACTCTCTACCTGTTGTGTTTCATATTCTACATTCATATTTTTAGTGAGCGATGTGGAAACCTAAACTTAAATCCAGATTTAAACACCTCATATGGTGTCTTCTTATTAGTGTCTTTGGACTGATGTCACAAAACAGGTTGAGTATGAGGAAATGAAAAGCCAGTGGCTTCATTTTGGAGAGATAGTTGAGTGGACAAAGTGCTTTCTGGACAAGCATGAGGGTGTGAGTTCAGATTGCCAGCACCTACATAAAGCCAGGGTGGAGCTGTACATGACTGTAACCCCGGTGCTGAGGATGATGACACAGGTGGAGCCTAGGGACAAGCTGGCCAGCCAATTGAGCCAAAATAATAACTACAGGCTCAATGAGAAAAACCCTATGCCAAAAAATAAGGTAAAGTCCAGTTGGTCTCAATAGGCTTAGAGACAGATAGACAGAAAGAAAGACAGGCAGAGGATGAACATGAAGTTCAGTGAGTAGAAAGTGGGAGATAGATCCGGAAGAAGTTAGAGAAAGGGGATGAATATGATCAATATGCATTGTATAAAATCCTCAAAGATTACTAAAACCATTTTAACAAGGTGTAGAAATGACTGAAGAAGATATCTCAATGTCAACCTCTGTACTCTTCATGTACCACCAACACAGACAAGAGCACATGCTCACACACATGTATAAAACACTGACTGCCCACCACACATACAAACACACACAAAGCTGATGATTGTTGCAGAATCACGGTAGCATGGCCTCAGTCTGTTGTCAAGTGAGTGAAGCTAGATACAGTCTGCAGCTTTCTGCAAGAGGAATATGTATGTAAAGTCAAACAGGTGCCGCTGGCAGCATATGAAAAGCAGGCCACGAATTCAACCACAAACTTAATTACATATATGTTAATCTACATGATCATTATTTTCCCTGGACGCCCCCCTTCCAACAAGCTTCAGTGAAGAAATAGAAAGAGAAAAGCACTCTGCAAGGTCCTATACTACTTGTCTTTATCAATGGACCACAGATAAATAACATGGCTGTTTTATTCTTTTTCATATAGGTCTCTGTTCTTCTTGTTGCAATTATTGTTTGTGCACAACAATCTCACTGAGGTTCAAACTGACCTCAAAACCAAAATCCTCTTGCCTCACTGTCTTGAGTATTGGCATTATAAGTTTTTGTTACCATACCAGGCTGAGAAAGAGTTTTCAACAATAATCTGTTGGCCACCTTACTTATTTGGTATTTAACGTAGTATAAGAACTAATTAAACAAAATTAAATTTACCTTAAAAACTCTTGCAAGTCCAAAGTCTGCTACTTTGTAGATATTATGTTCGCCAACAAGGACGTTTCTCGCAGCCAGATCTCTGTGGATATAGTTTTGGGATTCCAGATAGGCCATTCCAGAAGCCACCTGTGCCGCCATGTCTACCTGTTGAGTCAGATGGATTTTTGACCCACCATCATCTAAACAAAAAGAGAAAATAAGAGATCATCTTGGAAAACATTGAGTTAGCAGAGTGAATTCTAAGAATTCTAATAAATCAGTCCCATTTGTATGACATTAATCTATCTACCAAGAACACAACAAAAGTACCCCACCAGGCCAACACAGGCCAACACAGGTGTGTTTCCAGAGCCACACAGCATTGGTGTGCCTCTTCATGAAAACTGTCATCTGGGGGCCTCTGCCTTTCTTCAAAGCATTTCCAGAATAGGGAGATGGTTCAGTGGGTGAGACCCTGAATTTTAGATCCTCAGCACAGCTGTAAAACATCTGGTCACAGTGGCACAAGTCTGCAATGCCAGTGCTGGGGAGGCTGAGACAGGAAGAAAGACCCCAGAGCTCATAAAGTGGAGAGTCATTAAGGAAAGCACTCAAAATTGACCTCCGACCTCTACACACACCGCACATAAACACTGAACCTGAAATTTTAAATAGGAAAGCAAACTGCACAGTTTGCCTTAGTCACTGAACTGATGAAGTGGCAATGATCTAAATCAAAGAAAAATTTTCCATTCTTTTACCAATTTTTTCTTAAAAATAAGATCACTGGTGAATTTTAAGGATACGCCACTGATAAAATGTGTGTATTGCTTTTATAGCCACATGCATTATACATTTTTAATTTCCCTCTTGGCTTGCTAGTCCCTGAACATCTCTTCAGATACGAACCCATCTTAAATGGACAGAAATCCACCTACTGCTCATTCTATATAGCTAGATACAGAAATTCACATAATGGAGTGGGCCTGATAATTAGTAAAAGGAGCCAGTGCTATCCTTGGAAATTCTGAAATTTCATGTCTTCCTCAGGTTTAAAGTGCCATACTGTTGACAAGGATCTTTAGACATCCAGAGCACTGGGATTACTCCACAGAAGTGCAAACTCCTGTTCTCCTTGCCTTCCTAAATAAAATACTAGTTCATACAATCAACTGGACTTTTGGTCATTAGACTTAAACATAAGCCCTGCTTTCAGGGAAAGCCATAAGGCAGGAGTAAGGAAGAATTAAATAATACCAGAGTATCAGATTTGATATTAGGGTTATTCTTCATATCTTTGTAACTTTGAGCGACATGAATAGCTCTGTGCTTCAGTACCTTCATCTACCTAGTGATAACAGTAATTGCCTCAAAGAATCCATTATTAAAGTCAAATTTCAAATGAATAAATACATGTAAAGTACTTAACATGATGCCAGGTACTGAAGAAGAGCCCCAATAGATCCTAGATGCTAATATTATCATTGCAGCTATGCAAATGTGAAACAATTTTAATCATCTAGTGGTGTATATGAATGGCCCATGGGGAACTGGCCAAAAGAAGGGAAGCCTGAGGGTCTGGAGCACAGAATTGCAGCTAAATGTACAAATTTAATAGTTGTGTGAATGAGTGGGAACAAGTGTTAGATACATATGAAGAAGCACATTCATGAGAATACCGACACTTAGAGTTGGCAGGAAAAAAAAGTAGAAGCGCGAGAAACCTGTGTAGAATCAGCTAGAAGCAGGAAGGTCAAAGATGCTACAATAAATCAAAGGTTTTAGGAGTGGACTACCATTGTGGTCAAATTTAATAAGCAGACTCAGTAAGATGCCAGGTGAAAGGTTATTTGTTAGCAGAAGTAATGAGTGGTCATTGGTGACCATGGAAGAAGGAAGGACAATTCTACCTGATGGTACATAAGGGAAAAGGACTGCATGAGTGAGGAGTGTGTGGAGCTGGCCAGATGAAACAGCAGATTCCAAAATGCTCCTCTAAAAGTAGCAAAGAGTAGGCCTGCAGTTCAGTTCAGTGGCAAAGCTCCTCTCTAGCAGAAGACAGACTTCAACCCTCAGAACCAGGGAGAAAATAAAGATGCTAAAAGGGAATGGTAAGATTAAGAGAAAATAATCACTGTAAAGGACTGGCAAGGTTAAGAGTAAATAGTTACTGGAAAGTGCAAGACACCAAGGAGTTATGAATGCTGGAGGATTCAGACATTTCTGGAATGCCTGCTATGTTCAGATTCTTGATTTGGGAGATAACTGCCCGGCTTCTTACTTACTCATTATAATTATATGCTGTTACTGTATCTGATTTATGTATTTTCTGTGTTTTTGGTGCCTTTTCCAATAAAAAGTAAAATAAATAGAATTAAGAAAAAAGTAAATAAGAGAGAGTTAAATACCATCTAGATTTTTATACTATGAGTGTGTGTACATGTGACTCTTAAACACACAACAGGAGGGGGTTATGGAGTCATTTCCATGCCTCTGAAGAACAACAGTTATGCAGTTATATTTGCCTGAAGGGGACACTGATGGAAATAATATACCTGCCTGCCTCAGTCCACTTCAGCAAACTTCATGCAAATCATTAACCATGTGTCAGGACTTAACATAGGAAGGCAGAAAGTAATTACTGCTCCTTAAAGGGAATCTCAGTGTTTGATTTGCAGTAGATGTTCTGTAAGTATTTATTGAGGAAAAAAAAAAAGAAAAGAAAGCTCAACAAACTAAACCAAATACAGATATTCACTTTTTTAAGTTTCAGTAAGATGTTATAAGTGAAATATGTATGTAAGTACACATATTTCACTGTATTACCTGAATTACCTAGGTAATTCAGTGGTTTTCTTAAGTGGTCTGTATCAAAGGGTTGATAAGTCAGTCTTTAAGTATTTATTTTGCCCCCAAAATGTGCGTAAACTTTTTCAGTTTGTGGATATATCATATGGGAAGATTCTTTTACAAATATTATGAATGTGCTAAAAGCTGTTTTTCACCTGACTCCTAAATGCTTGCAGACTTTAGAAAGTTCATCCCAACTCCCACCAATACTTCCCTGCTTGTCACATCACACTGTCTAGTGTCACTCTATAGTGAAACCTGCACAACTTAGAATATACTCAGCAAATAATTCCAGTAGAAAGCAATCTAAAGCTAATAAACATCATAGTTTCATTGTTTACAGCCCTGTATAAACTGCTCGTGTTTATTTAAGGCTTACATTACTTGGGTTGATTGAAAACGAAAATTTTCTTTTCCCCTGAGTTTTTTCCCCATAGAGCAATTTGGCTGCTTACACGAGAAGCCAGATATCTGCTTCCCCCATCTTCCACTGCATTGCCTTTCAGTAACACTGCCTTGCAACAGAAACGTCATTTTATCACAGTGTGAATGTATAGTCTACATCTTCGCCTTCCTTTGACTAAACATTCATGTGAAGAGTGAGAATGCCCATGTGTTTAGAGATCTTTTATAAAAAGTGGAGCTCTGAAATATATTCTTCTATATAGGTGATTTTTTTTCCCTTTTACAAGTTGATGATATTTTTCTCATATGAAGATATGTGTGCCTTTACTCTCTTCTGAGATTATTTAAATCTTGATGTCTTTCATCGTTATATTTATTAAGATATCTGATTGATATGAAACTTGGTACTTTAAGGATTCTTTCAGAGGACTTTTAATAAAAGTGGTCAATATGTAAAAAATAATAAATTTCAGTAAGATTTATATCATCAAATACTATCAATGCTAAAGTATTTTAATGGGCTACTCCCATTTTGGATTTATTAGCAAAACAAATCAGCAAGGATTAGAAACAACAAAGATTTTTATATAGAAAAAAATGTGGATGTTCTTTCAAATATGCATTACACTGCAATTCTGCTACAGAGGGTATGGAACAAGCCCAACACCAGAAGATTTTGACTCAGCAACACATAATAAAATGGGCTACATATGAGTAGCAGAATCCTTTCAAGGCTAGCTTATTGAGTTTTCACCTCATGGTTGGTAAAGATTAGATGTAATAACTACACATTCATCACTCCTCCTATCTGTAAAGTATCTTTGAAGATAAAGGGCCTCAGTAACATGCCCCTAATGCTCTAATCCAGAGAAAGACAAGGTTCGCAGCCTTGAGTAAACCACACAAACAATCCACAGAAATTCTCCAACTTGAAATGTTCAATGTACTGACTAAGGCTTTTCCAGCTGGGGCCTCAGTCTTAAAACTAGCTGACTCCAAATGCTAACCTTATTAGTTTGTGGGTGACCTCAGCTTAACTCTTCAGTCACCATGTCTTAGTACACACCACTGTGCACCAGACTCTGCCAGAACACTAAAACAGAGACAGCTTCCATCCTTGTGGACTTACATTTAGTGTTTCACATAAGCTAGATAAAAGAACCGAATGCTCTAAAATGATTACCGACTAAGTGGTGGAAAACAGAACAGGAAAAAAGAAAAACAGGAAAAAAGAACAGGAAGAACCAAGAGAAAGATTAAGTATCAGTATCTGACAGTCGACCAGCCAAAGACTCACTAAGATGGAAATATCTCTGCAGACTTTCAGGAACTGAGAAGTAAGCAGAGCCTAGTCCCATCCTTTCGAGGAACATGCAGGGTCCTGTGCACCTTCCTCAGGAGAAAATTCCACACACACACTGAAATCCAGACTTCAGCCCTGACCACTTAAGGGTCACAATCATCCTAGTGAGCTTCCTGCAGTTAGCAGAACTTATCCCTGCCATGGCCCCAGCCTGGACCACCTGAGAGCCACCGTAAGACTTGTCTACCTCTCTCAAGTGGCACCACCCACTCCTACTGGACCCCAGCCTATGCCACCTAAGGACCAGCTGCATAATGGTGCAAGCCGTCCATGGACTTCTGAGGATCTGCGGCAGTCACCTGCTAACTCTCTGGGAAGGTCTGTTGCTGTGCTCAGAAGTTACACCTAGCCCTAGCTAAGCTTGTACCACTTCTGATACCTCATCTACGTATCAACACGTGAGTGGCCTGAGGACTGAATCTCAAACACCTTTCAGCTGGCCCATAACCAGACAAGTATGGGTCACTGCAAACAGAGAAATAAACAGCCACTACACAAAAGTGGGTCAAATATACAGACCAACAACCTTACTCTGCATGACTAGGTCCTTTTAAAATACAAAGTGAAAAACCAATGCAATATGTCTCCTCCAAAAATTAGGACTACACAGTAATGTTCCTTAGGAAAACAACCTAAGTGACATACAGGAAGATGATTCGGAAATAACAATTGTTACTATGTTCCAAAAAGATGCTCAAGTATATAACAAGGACATTTGCTCAACCATGTTCGTAGCAGCTTTATTCATAATAGCTAGAATCTGGAAACAACCCAGATGTCCCTCAATTGAGGAATGGATACAGAAATTGTGATACATTTATGCAATGGAATACTATTCAGTAATTAAAAACAAGGAAATCTTGAAATTTTCAGGCAAATGGTGGGAACTAGAAAAGATAATCCTGAGTGAAATATTCCAGAAACAGAAAGACACACACGGTATATACTCGCTTGTGGATATTAGATATATAATATAGGATAATCATACTAAAATCTGTACACCTAAAGAAGCTAAGCAAGAAGGAGGACCCTGGGTAAGATGCTCAGTCTTCATTCACAAAGGCAAATGGGATGGACATCGGAAGAAGGTGAAAACAAGGAATAAGACAGGAGCCCTCTGAAAGACTCTACCCAGCAGGGTATTAAAGCAGATGCTGAGACTCATTGCCAAACTTTGGGCAGAGTGTAGGGAATCTTATAAAAGAAGGGGAAGATAGAAAGACCTGGAAGGGTCTGGAGCTCCACAAGGAGAACAACAGAACTAAAATCTCTGGGTACAGGGGTCCTTTCTGAGACTGATACTGTAACAAAGGACCATTCATGGAGATAACCTAGAACCCCTGCATAGATGTAGTCCATGGTAGCTCAGTCTCCAAATGGGCTCCCTAATAAGGGGAACAAGGGCTTTCTCTGACATCAACTTAGTGTCTGACTCTTTGATCACCTTCCCCTGAGGGGGGGCAGCCTTACCAGGACACAGAAGAAGACTATGAAAGACAGACCTGATGAGAACTGATAGGCTACGGTCAGATGGAAGGGGAGGAGATACTCCACTATTAGTGGACTGGGGAAAGTGCATGGGAGGAGATGAGGGAGGGAGGGAAGGCAGGATTGGGAGGGTATGAGGGTGGGGCTACAGCAGGCATACAAAGTGAATAAATTGTAATAAATAAAAAATTATATTAAAAAAAGGAAAGTCGAAGACAGTGTAGATAAACATGAGCATTTAAACACTGAGACTAGATGAAATTATAAGAAAAATAAATTGTTAGGAGAGCATCTTAGAAGAATTCTCAGTTGTTGAGAAATATGAGGCTGGAAATCACAGACTGAAAAGAACCAAAGACAAGTTAGAGAAAATAAATTAATTAAATGCTCACAATAGGCTTAAATATTGGGAACTCACAATTCTACCTAACGTGGCTATTAGAGGTGACATTTGCAAAGCACTTCATTAGATATGACAGGGAATCACTCTTCTGCTTTACCCTGGGAATAAGGCAGGAAGTTAGTCAGTCAGTAGCTGAAGTTAACTCTTCCGTGGTAGGTCACTATTCTGAGTCTGTGTAGTTTGATGACCTCATGCAAGGGAGCTAAGCATATTTGTTTTTCATGGCACTAAGTAGGCCACATCATGGTCTTTATTCTTTTTTGATTTGCAATTTAGAATTATCAGTCGTCCTTGAAAGCAGACAACTCCTTTACCTTCCGGAAGCCTTCCTTTCACTGTTCTCACCTGCTCATGATTCTATCAGTCTTGCTCTGACATTGCAAAAATCAGAGAAAGTTTCTATTTTTCAAGCATGAATCATTCTCTCAGTGCTCTATCTCAATTTTGAACATCTTGTTTCAATTCCTACTATTTTATTATTTTTGTGAATTATTCATTTGTGAGTGCCCTTACTGTGACTGCCAGAATCAAATGCAGAAATACAGCAATACTATATTTCTACTTTTTAGCCTGGAGATTCTAACATTGCCTAACCGTGGAAGTAGTTTCAAATAACACACAAACACACATATACTCACACACTCACACAATTTAAAAACAAAGAGCTAGGATACCTTTTTTTTCTTTCTCCCAAATATTCCATGTCCACAAAGTACTCCATAGAAAATATTGGTTTATGACTAAGAATGTTCAATTAGTTGGTGAAGGAAACACACAGAATATTCATTCACCAATTTCCCACACTACATTTAGGTACTCCGATATGTCCACTGTGAACAATTTGATCTTGCACTACATAAATATTTTTCCCCTTTTGAGAACACAGAACATATTCCATTAAATAATAGTTGAGCTGGTCAATGTTATGACATTCATTCTCACAGATACACACATTGTAAACATTCTTTGGGTTATAGAAGGCTTGCTAAATTGACATTTATGGGACTGGCTCAACTGAATTCCTCCTTCTTTCCTTTTATTAACTCCTCAGCTTACTTTGGAGATATTCTTGCAGACTTCCATGTCTCATCAACTCTGTAATAATATAAATTGGATCTTCTAAAGTGCAAACAGCATAAAGTTGGATAAGCTTTGGATGTCTTAGGCTCTTCATTATCTGTGCCTCCCTCAGGAAGTCATTTGGATCCATTGAACCTGAAACAAGAAGAGGAGGAAATCACTTTATGTCATTGAGGCATTCCTATCCCAACAGCAGCCTGGTGGGAATCGCCAAGATTGCCTCCTGACTCTCAGTAATATAAGAGCGTTAGTGCCACAAATCTTCAGAGTTATCAAAGAGTGGAATCAGTTCAGCCAGGGCAACCTAATTACTGCATGCGCTATTGTGTCAGGGGTATACAGTTTATGTGTTACAATGTGGGGGTGAAGAACAAGTGGGTTCATGTCCACATGACAAATGATAGGACAGAGAGATGCTGGTAGTGTAATTGAGATGAGGCAGGTGTCTTCACACAGAAAGAGAGTGACCATTAACACAAACACAGGCAGATATGGAATGTTTAATTACTCCAGCCAGGGCTCTTGGTTTCAGATGCAGAGAGGATGGACTGATGCCCTGTTTTTGGTGCTCATGCTTGGAACAGTTGAAAAACACCTTAAAACAATGACTTTGCCATAATCCTTTCCTGGACCTTGTAGAAATATAGGGTGTAGGCCAAGTAAGAAATATTCTGGAACATTTCCAAAAGCTAACTGTTGTCTTTCATTGTTTTATATGTTTAATGTGAAACTGATACTCTATATTTCCTCCTTTGTTACCTGGTTCCTCCATCAGAACCCAAAGGAGGCTCTAAAGCTTCCTTTGAAGACTCACAGTTAAACTGATTTTTAACTGATCCAACACTCATCTGCAGTGTATCAAAGAGTTAATATTAAATAAGAAGGAGAAGGCCAGATGGCCAGAGTTTGCATTCAGTAATAATTTTTAGTATATAATGTTATTTTTAGTATATAATGTTCCAGAAATATCACTGCAATTAAGCATATCTTGATATTCACTCAGGACACCATTCCATTTATCATCTGCTCCAGATAAAGACTTCACAATTGACACCTGAACCCAGACATGGGTACATTTTGGCACTGTAAAGGTTGCTCTGTGACTTGTTCTTCAATGCGATGTTATTTCACACTATGTAGTGAAACACTCTGCCAACGCAAAGTGCAAAAGTTCAGCTTCCAGGCTCAAACTTGAATCCTGAAACCAATGCAGCTCTACTACTAGATCCTTCTGTAGTCTGGAGCAGGTTGGTGGATCTTTCTACGCTTCAGGATAACAGCAGTGTCCAGCACACTTGGACCCAATAGCTGCTGCTGCCGCTGCTTCTGATGATAGTATGATGACAAGGACGATGATGATGATGATGATGATGATGATGATGATGATGATGATGATGATGGTGATGGTGATGATGGTGATGATGGTGATTTTATATATTCTTAAGAAAACCAACCAGACATATTATTTGTATTTTTTTGTTGGAGGAGAAGCGACAAGATCAAAAAAAGGAACAGAAATGAACCTATTTTCTTTTCATCACATATTTCTGAGCCCCCTCAATGCCAGCATTGTAACTGGTAAAAAAAAAAAAAAAAGGATTAAAGTTTAGAATTACAATAGGGTAATGTAGTTAGAAATAAAAGAGTCACATAAATCATAACAAATCACTTTTTTTTTCCTCTGTGGTTAACAATAACCTATATCATATCAACCTATATCAAATAGATATAATGTAACCAAATAGAAAGACATATCTGACTTGTGAAGGTTAAAGTGACAGTAGTAGTTAGTAGTTATAATCATCCTTCAGACAATTTCTACAGGACACATATACCATTCCCAAGTCAAGCTATATATAAGTGCTGGAGTTGAAGCACGTTGAGGGCTACTGTGAGCGCTCCTTTTTGGCCAGGCCTGAAGGGAGTCCCAATCTCAAGTCATCTAGTAATACGACATTAAATATTAATTTTTGTCTGTCAAGGCTAGTGTGGGAGTTGATTTCAGGCTCATCTTTATTGCATGGTAGTCTGCTAGGCAATAAATAGCTGCTAAGTTTGATTAATGGCTCCAGTGAAGTGAAGACATTTAACCAATCGCCAAAGCTGTTTGCTGCTATTACACTGTAAATCAATAACAATTATTTCTGTTGGAGAGCAAACTATCATGGCTTTTTTTATCGTAAGAAATATGACATTTTATTGTTGTTGTTGTTGTTGTTGTCGTTCTCTTTTGACCTCCAGAGAGCCTCCCTTAGAAAGCAATGTTGGGGAGTATAGCTTGCTGTTTATCTTTGGAAAAAAATAATTAGATTGGACAACAAAGTTTCATCTCAGCTGTCATCAACATTAGCATTTAGAAGTGTACGTGAATGGCCACAGTGAAAGCCTCAATGCTGGAATAGATCGTCTCACTGACAGCCATCGGGTGGCACGTAGCCACATGTAAGCGTCTCTCTGATGTCTTACCCAGCAGAAGTGAATGCTGGCACTGAATTCCTGTATGATCAAGCCTGTGCTTGAGGGTTCTGTCTGGAGCTGGAAGCTAGCACTTCATTAAGAACTTCTGCATAACCTTTGTGTCCACTGACTTAATCTGTCCTCCTAAAATTCTAGCAATGGGGAACTGTTTTGATTCCCTCATCCCAATAAGAAAATACAGAAAAGTTTACTGAACTGTTCAGAGGCACAGAAGTAAGTTTAAAGCTAAGTTTAACTCGGGGTCATCTTACCCCAAACTTGATGGTCTTACCTTTTACGCTGCAATACCAAAACATTTTCAGTTCATAGCACCCTTAATGTCTAAGTTGGTTTTCTTTACAGTGCCCCATGCCACAAACAATATTCAACAATTCATTTGCTTGTTAGGTTACATCCAAACAACTACTAAATTATTTTTCTTGGAAGCTGATAACTTTCTGAGAAGGTGATACGGGAAGTTAAAGGAAAAAGAATAATTTATACTTTATTCTTAACTATAATTACTTTCTAAAGAATCACAACCAACCTAGAGTACTGTATAACTTCTCATATGTTGCAATCATATGAGGTGCTGCTACCCTCATGCCCTTGTCCATGATGATTTTTGCGTGTTATTTTGCATTTGATGATAGTGGCCATCAAAACTCAGCAGAGAGAAATCAAAATGGAACTAAGCTGGAAGTCTTCCCTCCACTCAACAGCTTTCATAGTTTTATGAATGTGGAGAAAGTGCGGTGCTAAAGAAAACCATCATTCAGCCATTGACTCTGCATGCTAGAATACTGACCTGCCAGGTAAAATGCAGTCTAGCTTGTGGCTAGGTTCCTTGCAGCATTATTAGAGGTAGATGTGATGTGGTCAGTACCTCATCTTAGTGGCAAGACTGTTAAGGGGATAACCAGATATATGTTTATATTCCTAGGTTAGTGCTGCTCTCAGTTTATGTGGTAGGTTAATGCAGAGACCATTAAAATGTCAAAATATTAAGAATAAGTGACTGTCGAGAGCTCACACCTGAACAGGACATCTACATCACCCTCCACATCAAGCCTTGGGGGACATTCCAGAACAGACAAAAGGAAGAGTAGAGAATAAAGTAAGAAGAGAGGGTAGGCAGGGATTCTGTGAAACACTCTCTTCTGAACATGGCATGGCTGTTGCTGCATTCACAAGCCCACAGTACCTGTGGTTGCCTGGATAAGACCTGCACATGATTAGACCGGTTGACATTCTATTATGGATGGGGAAGGCTCGCATGAGGCTCCACCCCTTCCTGGGAAGCTACTGTCAGCTAATGGCTTCTGGCAGAAAAAGATCATGTTCTTCAGTGGTGTAGCCACTGATAAGTTTCCCATGTTCCAGGATGTATGATGCTTACCCATACTTTTGCAACCAACCTTGATTAAACTTAGTTGATCATCAAGAAAAGACGTGAAAATAGGACAGGTACTTGTGGGAGGAAGAAGCAATTCAATGGGAATAAAGGCGCATATTAATATGATTACAAATACATTATAAACATGTATGGTATTATCAAAAAATATATCAAAAATGTTTCGCAAAAATATGGTGTCAACAAAAAGAATGTGACACTATTAAAAGCTGAAATTCTAAAAGACTTAAATGCAGCAGCTTTGTGTCATATTCAAAATGATACTTCAAATGTCCCTCAGCTCCTCCTGTCAATTCCTTGGGGTTCTCAAAAGCACCTTAACACAGTTTGGGAAACGTGATACTATACATACTAGCATCTGAGGAATGCCAAATTCTCAAGTCCAGTCACCAGAAGACTTCTAAAACTTTCAAGCACAGTGAAAATAAAGAAAGTCCATAGAGTATTGTAGTCTATAGCCAGTAGCTATGATCTGTGCAGCATTATATAGATAGATATGGGTTGTTCAGAGACTCATGCTGTGCTTCCATAGAGTGCCATTTCTAGGGACAGAGTACAACAATGACAAATACAGGTCAGAAGCTCCACCATTTACTAACACCGTGATGATAATAACAATATGCGTTTTTTATTACTGACTTTGAGCGAGGTGTTGAACAATGTGTTTCTGATAATGACTTGATTCAGTCTTTATAATAACCTTGTTAGAGTAGCCTTCACATTATCACTATTTTAATTATGTACAGTTCACCTTTAATAACGAATGTTATTTCTTGAATAATTAGAGCTTGACATCTGATTGTGTATGTGAGAAACGTGTTCCTATACATGTAAGTACATGAGCACGTACACGTCTGTGGGGGAAAGGGTGTTTGTGTGCTGTGTGTTGTGTACATGTATGTCTGTGGTATGTGGTGTGTGTGTATGTATGTGTATGTGATGTGTATAAGTCAGAGACCAACATCAAGTGTCTTAATCACTTTATACTCAACTTTTTACAGCAAAATCTCAAATTGATTTCAGCTCACAGATTCAGTTACAGTGGCTGGCCAGCAAGCCCCAACGGTCCTGTCCACCTACCCAGTGCCGGAATTGCAGGTGTGTGCTGCCATACTTGGCTTTCACATGGGTGCTGGGGGTCAAACTATGGTCTTCGTGCTTGTGTGTCAAGTATTTTACCAACTGAGCAATATCTTCTGCCCCTACATCTGAATTGTCAAGAATGTTTAGTCTCCAAATTACAAAAAATGGAAGATGGAATCCTAACTTTTCAAAAGACAGAACTGAGGATGTTTTAAGCTTCACTGGAATGAGAGCATGCCTTTGACTTCCTGTTTTAAGAGCTATCTGTATTTAATAGTCACGTAGTATAGAATGATGGCAACAGCTGCTTGCTGTCAGCACTGGGAGAGTCCAATGAAGTTGATGGCTTTTACAATTGGAGTTTGTCATAGAAAAAAAAAATCAAACTGTGCCATTTAACCTTTGATGTTCTCATACCTGGTTTTAATGTTTTCACAGCTACTGGAGTGGTATTGTTCCACAGGCCTTCCCAAACTTCTCCAAATTGGCCGGATCCCAGTCGCTTCAGAAGCTGTATGGAGTCGCGATCTATCTCCCACTGGTCCACAGTTTTATATGACAAATCAAAAGGAGTTGGGACCTGTACCTGTTTTAGAGAACATTGAGACTACTTGTCAAAACGAAGACACGGGGCTGGCTTAGAAGGCAAATATACTCCCCGTGCAAGTCTGATGACATGAGTTTGATTCAAGGAATCTATGTAGAGTTGGAAGAAGATATATGACTACACACAGCTGTCGTCTGACCTCTATAAGCCCGCTATGGTACTGAAGTATGCACGCGCGCGGCACACACATCAAAAAAACATAGGTTAATATTTTGATTGAAAACAATAGTCTTGTACTTTTAAGGAAAATACTGAACAACAACTCAAATATGGTAATTAAAATCTGTACTGCTGACACTTTAAGGCAATCCACTCTCATATGCCCAGCCCTGTGTCTACCCGCCCTACCTCCCCACCCCAGCACTCAGAGTCATCCTCACAGGACTTTGCAGTAACTTCTTTCTGCCTCCAGCCTCACTGGGTCCTCTCAGTGTGAAGCTGAACTAGAAAAACTACCTCCCTCCCTCACATGTCGTTGGCTGTCATATTTATTATGACATTTTTTTTCTTTTGCAAAATGAACCGTCACTTTTCAAATTTATTTCTGTAATTTTTTCCCATTCACTCATTCACTTTATTTAGTAAGTAAATTTTTTTAGGCCTGGACTAGTCACCACACAGTAAATAAAACCGGCAAGGCCAGTTATTTTTCAGAGCACTGTAACATTTATTTAAACAGTCAACTTGACTGGATTAAGAAATGCCTCAGATGGTAGATCTCAACTTGTGGGTCAGGACCCCTCTTGAAAACTTCTGTCTCCAAGAATATTTACATTTGATTCATAACAATAGCAAAATACAATTATTAAGTACAATGAAATAATGTTACAGTTGGGGTTACCACAACATGAGGAACTGTATTAAACTGTCACATTAGGAAATTTGAGAACCACCAACCTAAGAGATTAGTTAAAAAAAAAATGAACGTCTCTGGTAGCATTTCCAAGGTCAATTAAGTCGTAAAAGCCCTGATATGATCAAAGACTTGATCCATGATGCTCTTATTAGATGATGGCCTTCCTAGGCATGCTCAAAGGAAGGAGACATGTCTATTGGATGGTAATGGGGGTGTTTCCTTGGAGCTGTATCTCTCATCTTAGAACGCCTCCTATATTTATCTGTTGTATATAATTCCTGTCCACCTTGAAGGGAAAACCTTCTCAGCCACATGCTTTTGCCACCATGATGCTCTGCCCAGAAATGCAGCCAAAGAAAATATTTCCTCCTTGGTTGTTCTTGTCTGTTTGGTCACAGGGTACTAAGGCTAGTAAAATTCATTGTCAGGTTTACTGCACGTATTATATCTCTATTGCAGCCATCAAACTCTAAGAATACACTGGTTCTCAGCCTTCCTAACACTGTAACCCTTTAATATAGCTCCTCATGTAGTGGGAACCCAGACCATAAAATTATTTTATGTTGCTACTTCAGAACTGTAATTTTGCTACTGTTGTGAATTGTGATATAAATGTCTGTGTTTTCAGATGGTCTTAGGTAACCTCTGTGAAAAGGTCGTTCGACACATCCTCAAAACAGTTTCGACCCACAGATTAAGAACTACTCATCAAAGCAGATGCTGAGACTCATAACCAAACTTTGGGCAGAGTACAGGGAATCTTAGAAAAGAAGAGGGAGATAGTAAGACCTGGAGAGGTCAGGAGCTCCAAAAGGAGAGCAACAGAACAAAAAATTCTGGGTGCAGGGGTGTTTTCTGAGACTGATACTCCAACCAAGGACCATTTATGGATATAACCTTGAACCCCTACTCAGATGTAGCCCATGGCAGTTCAGTGTCCAAATGGGTTCTCTAGTAATGGGAACAGGGGCTGTCTCTGACATTCTCAGTGGCTGGTTCTTTGATCACCTCCCCATGAGGGAGGATCAGCCTTGCCAGGCCACAGAGGAGGACAATGCAGCCACTCCTGATGAGACCTGATAAGCTAAGGTCAGATAGAAAAGGAGGAGGACCTCCTTTATCAGTGGATTTGGAGAGGGGCATGGGAGGTGAAAAGGGAGGAAGGGTGGAGTTGGGAGGGAATGAGAGAGGGTGCTACAACTGGGATACAAAATGAATAAACTATAATTAATATAAAAAATAAAAATTTTAATAAAAATGATACATGCACAAAAAAAGAAAAAAAAAACTACTGATCAAACATCAGGGCCAAAAAAACTAAAGATAGTAAAGGAAATCAGCATGTCTCTTGTAAAATAAAAAAAAAAAACCACAAATTTTCTTTTAAAATAAACATGGGATAGTATTGACTCACAGGCCATAATTTCCCTTTTCCTTCCCTAAGTAACCAAATGACTATTTTTTTATAAAATGACAAATCCTTGAATGTCTGAGAGGACAGTGTTAACTTTAAAGATAAATGAACTTAGCTGAAACAAATTGACCTTTAAGCATGGCTTCTCCAGCTTGACACACAGGCCGTCGCTTGTTGTGGTATAGTAGCTCACAAACTCATTCAAGGTTGAAAAGGTTTTCCTCCTGGTTAGGAAAAATCCACCTTCATCCAGTCTTCTTATTCTGTAGTGTTTTACAACACCTTCATCCAAAACTAGAACACAAAACAAATCCTGTCAATAAATGCATCACTGAACCCAAACCTTCCTTTGTGGTCGTTTGTTACTGTATGGAATGAAATTTTCACAAAAATGTTATCTTTCAACTTTGTCACAGGAAATATGTAATATACAAAGGAGGCACACCCAAAATTTGTGATGCAGAAGCAGGGTCACTCAGCGATCAGACTGAAGGGAAGAGAGGACAAAAACCAAGGAGTCAGAGTAACACTAAAACATGCCAAGCTTGAAAGGCCAGCACACATCATGGAAAAAGACCGTAAAATTGAATCTGTTGTTCTAGCAATGGAAGCAAGAAAATCCTGAACTAGCTCAGACATCACAGCATCCAGAGATAACAGCGCAAAGTGTTTAGACAAGTTCAACTCATCCTGGTCTTTTTTCCCCAGGGTAATCTAATTATGGGCAGACTGAAACAGAGGAAAAGGATTGTTATATCTCACAATATTATAAGGAATTCCTCAGTGCCGGTGCTACTCACTGTCTGGTCACCCTTCAGGCCCTTCAGTGCAGGCTGATACCAGAAACACCCAGTACAATGCAACAAGATCGTTTCCACAGAGCCTAAAATGTGGCTTATACGTGCAATTCTGCAACATCGCTTCAGCCTCAAGCAAATTCTCCAGCATCTTCAGGGACAATGAATGGCATTATTTTCTGATAGAATGAGTTCCAACGGAAACTGCGTTCTCTTGTTGTCCACCAATCTCTCTCTTGTTAACAGCATTCCCATGTTACCCAGAAAGTCTTTGCTCCTCTATGATGGTGAGATGCAGGAAGACTCTAAGCCCCACCCCCAACCCCAGCCCCCAATCTCGGGAAGGCCATTTCAGAGAGAACTATGTAGAAGCTTCAATTCTGGCACGTATAAAGGAGCCCAGGAACACAAAAGAATTCTGCTGTTATCATTTTTTTTTTCTGGAGTTGTTTTGGTTTTGTTTTTGCTGATGGAGGTTTTGAACTATTGATATAATTTGTGTGTCCAGCAGGGAGGAGACTGACCCGAAAAGAGACGCAACCCAGTGGAAAGCAGTGTTGATTGAGAAAGTAAATCTTAGTCCTTGGAGTCAGCCACGCATGGCTTTTCAACCTCAAAGGCAGGGAAGAAATTAATTTGAGCCAGGTTTTCTGAAACTGTGTTCAAAACATTGACCTATACAATTGCTATCTTGCTATCACTTGGCAAAGGCACTGGCAACTGCTGAGGAGAGACACATATAGCTCTTCTGAGCTCTTTCTGAATACAAGAGCTAGGCTTTGAATAAGCAATCAAGCAGCAGCAATGTTCCCATGATAGCACAGAGCCTGAGTAGCGAGAAGGCATGCTGAAGGGCCCAGGAGCGACAGTACCTGTCTTTGTCATTAGCCAATTCCTTTGTGGGGTCTGACAAGAAGACTCTAACTTTAGAGTTTTACTTGTATTTTACCTGACAGCCTGTCAAAAAATTCAATTTAAACATTCTGTTTTAAGCACATTTACTGTGTCAACCACGAGGGTAAGCTCTATGTTAACATTATTAACATCTTCAACAGTCCTATCAGGTGGGACCTTCAAAGTGGTCACAACACACAAATTGAGAACCACTCCTCTATACCACTAGGTATCAAACAGAAGATTCAGTTGTCTAAGTTGATAATAAAAGTATAATATGATACTAAAAAGATCATCTGAATTTGGGGAATCTTGCTTTCATATCTTTTTAAGAAAACATAAAAAGCAAGTGTACAATTAGCTCTCTTAAAGAGAATACCAGTATCTTAAATTAAAAATTTCAAGTGTATAATATACATCTTTATACCCTGATCTATCAATTTACCAATACAACTGACTGACTTTTAGGTCAAGTTTAATTGGCCTGCATCATCTCCAAGTAGAAGGCCTTTGTTGCCATAGAGGACTTAGCTCATAATTGAGTCCTGTATCTAGATTAAAAGGCTAACAAAAATTAAAAAATAAAAAAAAAATCGAAGAGAGCTGTAAACAATACCATGTCAGTCCCAATTCATTTCTCTACAATGTAATAAAAAATACCAGAAGTGGAAGCAAAATATAAAGTACAGCTGCAATTTATATAACTTACTGGCCTGAAAATTTAAGCTTTGCCATTTATCAAAGAGAAAACTGCATCAATTATAGCTGTGATGTCTAGCAAGCCAATAGATCTGTAATTGGAAGTGATGAAAAGCAATTCTTTTAATTCCTATTTTTAAACAAGATGGACCATCTCATGATTCCAAATTGAAGTGGACTATGTGTACATTAAACACAAATTTATGGATTTCTCTTTAATGGGCCACAAAAGATCGAAAGGCTTCCAAGCAAGAGATTTAAATCAATAGATGAATAAAAAGTTAAAATATTCTATGTTATTTCCTCAATAACACAGATGAAAATCACAATGATTGATACAGCTATGGCAATTTCTATTGATTATAAAGAAAGCCTAATTAAATGTTTGCCATATTTGCCTTAGTACAGGTCTGAACTCTTTACTAACTTAACCAGATACTAATACTTGAGAATACAGGTAGAGTTTTAAAGCACAGTAAAAATAATTTTATTTCATGGTCTATGGAACCACTTCAAAAGAGGGGAGATCCAGGCTTACAGTTTAATACACTGGGCATACCAGTCCTACTGAGCCTTGATGTCATCAGTATTGAATTAAATAAAGACTTTAGTGGCCTCCAGGTTCTCAAATATTTCCACATTCATGTTCAAGTCTTTCTGGTGCCTGTTGATTTCTCTCCCTGGATCCTGTACTTGTTGTTTCAACAGTCTTTTCATAAAATTTAATTCATATCTTGAACTTCTTGAACATCACTTGAATTCTTTTTCCTATGAATGGCTAGCCTACGAGCTGCCTCTCCCTCTAGATCTCCACTGAACTCCATATCCATCACCAAGCCTGTCCTCCCCACTCAAGCTGGTTTCTATTAGGTAACCCACTTAAATGAACTGAGAAGTATCCCAACAAAAGGATCTCTTGAAAGGAAGGGCCTGTGCTGTGCACTTTCAATACCTAGCACAGCCCATATACAATGAAAATTCACACAAAGATCTCCAAAATGAACCACTGATGACAACAATTAGTGAACTTAAAGTGAAATATAAGTTACTAAGGGGTCTGATGCAAACTTATAAGGAAGCTACACAGACACTCTCAGAATATAAGAAAACTTCCCTAGAATTTTATTCTGTGTATGTGTGTGTTGTCTACATGTATGTGCCGATGTACTTGCCAATGTGTGCCTACGTGAAGGGCAGAGGTCAATGATGTGTCTACCTCTTTCCCCCTCCCTCTTATGTTTGAGATAAAGTTTATCACTTCATTGAACCTGAAGCTCATTTTTTTACACAACCAGAGAGCACCAGAGAGTAGACTACCTCTGTCTTTGACCTGCCCCACCCCAACAGAGAGAGAGAGAAAGCTGAGGTTACAGATATGTACTCACTTTTTTACATGGGTGCTAAGTATCAAAAGCCCCACCTTCCTACTTGTGCAGAAATCATTTTACACACTGAACCATCTTTCCAGCCCTAAAGTCTTTTTTTTTTTATGCAAAAGCGAAGAGCTTTATTCAGGCTTAAGCTCGGTCTCTCCACTGTCAGCAATACAGTGGATCAGAGGGGAGAGCCCCGAGCAGCTATGTGACAGGGTTTTATTTGGGGCTTGAGCAAGCACCTGGAATTCCCAGCTTAGCAGCTACACGGTTGGATGATATTCAGCAAGAAGCCCTGAAATCTTATTTTTAAAGGGAAAGAAAACAAACTAGCAAATAATATTAAAAGGCAGTTACATTCAAGACAGCATCTAATTTCTTGGATTTTGAAAAACAGTGAAGATAGATAATTCTTCCTTTTGGTTGCCAATGATTCCATGACAACTCAAATGAGAACCATTCACATTCTATCTGAACAAACCTGAAAGATATATATTATTTTAAAATTAGGCCACAAAGGTTACAGCAGGGAAATCTATATATCATTGTCAGGATGACATTATATGTATTCTGACATTATATGTATTCATGAGTAGTCAAATTAAACTAAACATATATAACATTTTTAAAAAATGATTTCAGTTTGTTAGAGTTCCCAACCTTACTAATTGTCATTTCAAATGACAATGAATTCAAGGGTCTTAGAACTATAGAGAAGTGATTTTTGTATTCCTTTTGTTTCCTATGATTTGTTCTATGGAAGCAAGCCTACTCTAAATTCTGTAGCCTATAAATGGAGAATAATGCTTGTGCCATTTTCAATGTGAGTTGCTGTGGGTTCAGAAAATTAAGCACTTTAGTAACTGAACTGCAAAAATAAAAATAAGGTGAACTATAAAGCATAATGGAACCATCCATCAAAAGGTCAGTAGCATCTTGATGGATCTGAGTGATTACAGAATCTGTGGTTACCTTTTTTCTCTCATTTGTGCTATTTCACCTGGGGGAAAATGTTCACTTGTCAACTGATTAATCTACCAGAACATGTACAAGAACTAGGATCTACTGAAAGATGTAAGTTAGTGTGTATGAGAAGTACAGTACAGGTTTGTTGACTGCATTTAACTGCTGCATAGACCACACCACAGAACAGTGTACTGGCCTCAAACCTCAGTATCTGACTCAAGAGTCTGGAGCATCAGTGTGATTTAGAGCGTTTGCCGAAGCCAGGTGAATTTATGTGCAGTTGCTGACAGGTCCAGCTCCATTCTGTCCTAACAGTAACATCTTGTTTCACCCAGTCTCAAACAGTAGAAAAGGATGGTCTACTCTAAAGGAATGTTGTAAGATTGTGCAATTTAAAACTCTCAAAGAAAAATCGGTCCCAACTTTATCACACAGATAACATGGTATTCAAACATATCAAATATGTATGAAAGCCAAGATATCACAAAATTATGTGTTGGTTTTTTTTTTTTTTTTAAAGATAGACACTCCAGATACTAACTTTGGAACAGGACATTAATGGAAG